AATCTATCTTTTTCGTGTGTGAATGCGAAAGAACGCGTCAATTTGTCTATAGGTTTCTCTGTCTACGATCTCAGTCCTTCCCGTGACCATGGGTGCTGTAAAGCTCTCGAAATGTCGGGTATTTAAAAAAGTTAAATATACGCGATAAATTCCGTAAGAACTAGTATTATTTCAATGTGTAGTGTTCGCGTAAATATAAGAAATCATTACGTAATAATACACGTAACAAAACAAACTTAATAAAAATTAAAACAACTACTATAACCGAAAATTTTAAATCTTAAACTATCTATATACACGTTAGCGCATCCCAAAGCAGAAAGAGGAATGAGTTCTGCTCCATCCGCTTTCTTAAATACGCACGGCGTGAGGTCTATCGCAAATCGCGTCGAAACAGTTTTATTATCTCTGAATGACCGCTTCCTTCACCCTACCCCGTACCATGAGACACGCTTAGCGCATAACGATACGTAATCTATAAATAAATGTATGGAAGCATTAACTGTCGTTTTGTTTCGATGCTAACATAATACTTGAGGTCAATGTACTTTTTTCCGCCTGCCCTAGAAACGTACTATACTTGTACTCATAAACATCTTCGCAGCCTCTACTCACCGACGGCAGCGCCGCTATAAATTCTACAAATTTTCAAGGACAGGCGGGCTATGCTTTAGTACATAGCGATCGTTCTCCTGTTCTCCAACCTCCATGATACAGAGTCGGTACTCCATATTAAGGTTTCTCTGTTACGGCAAGTACCTTCTCACAGAGTAGAAACGGGTACTGTACTATGCGTAGTATCCTCCACAGTCTCTTATACCTATATGCAGTAATCTATGCTCCACAGTGTACTTTTTGTATACCAGGCCAGGTATCCTCTTAGTAGTCTGTGAATATAGTGATCTGCGATAGGAGTAATCACAGACACAGAGTACTTTCTAAGGAGTAATAGTGTTCTGTGGTGATCTGTGACTGTACTGCTGGCTGCTGGACTGCTGCTAGCTCCTACTGGCTAATGCCTTCTGCTGCATTTGCATTTGCGGTGGATCGGTGGATGTGCTCAAGTACAATATTTTTAATTTAAGTGACCTTTTCTTCAGAATTCTGGAGTAGTTGTGTCTGTTTTAGTGGATCTTTATGGACAAGGTCATAAGTTAATGTTAGCAACAATGATGTAAAAATGATTGTAAGTATTAATTATATTGTAATTGCAAATTGCCATGTATTTAACCATATGTTTAAATATAATCGTTTTATGAAGAAAAACTGTAAATGTAGTCCTTCTAATTTTCTTTTAAATATGGCTATACATTTATAGTGCTTGATTCTATTATAGGTTTCATGAATCATAACACAATATGCAGTCATAATGTTATTCTCGCAGAATGCAGAAAAGGTGTTCCGTGTTGCTTAACTGATTTTTCTTCATTTCTAAAGTTTTTAAAAGTGCTCATAACATTTTGACTTTCGGTGCAACTAAGTCCCTATTTTAAACGTGTGGTTATTTTTTACAGGAACTATTAGCAAATCAGGCGACAGAAGTTCCGTAAGTTAGATTTGTAAGTACTAAGTAGTAAGGTCGTTGTTTAAATTAATGTTGTTATGTAGTACAAACTTTTTTACATTGGTTGTTTCCAGTTTTCCTTTATATTAAACTGTACTCTTAGAATATTGCCTTTATTATTTTAATGATGTATTTTTGATCATTGAAGACTTTGTCTATAAACATAAACACACTGATTATGCATTCACTAATCTTAATTAAAAAATATAATAAACTACTTGAGTTGAGTGAAGTTCTATTACATTTCTAAAAAATAAAATATTTGTTTCTGATTGCATTTAGCAAGGGTTATTGCTTATGTAGGTATTGGTGAAATTAGCAAAAGCTGGTGAATTGTTCAAACTAAATTTGATGGATACATTTTGCTAAAGAGTAATTTATAATTAGTCTTTGATGGAATTCAAAACTCACTGAAAATCTGTAATAACCTTACACTATGTTTACTTATATGACACAGGTGATATTTTGTTGCAAATTGTTCGGACAAAAATGACATAATAATCGGCAAAGCTTTCCATTAACATCCGTCGAGTTGAGGGTTGATATTTTTTTTACAGAAAGGTGATATTATTATAAGTATACGCGCAAAGTTTCAACAAGCGGAGACATATACTTAATGAGAAAAAAATATTGAAAATCAATTATTTTTGCAATATTTATGTCAATCCCTACCACAGACTATATCGTATTACAGATATATCTCGCCATTGAATGTTCCATTTTATGTATGGTTAAGTTGTCATATGTTCGGTAACATTTTATTTTATATAAATTAATGTAAATAATTATATTTTGTACTTATTTTAATATTTTTCATGCATGTATGTATATTTAACAGTTTATATTTAAATTACAGTATTATTTTCATTATGTGCTATTAAAATTAAAGTGTGCAGTGTTTACGGTCTTTTGCCAGCTTGTGAAACCAAACGTAAAACTGACGCTATTTTGTATTGTCACTGTCATCATAGTCATTGTTTTGTCCTAGCAGTTGATAGTGCTTACGTAGTGCTTACATGCTGTTGGTGAAAACAACGTTTGACTACCACTATGGCAACTCAGAAGCCCCAAGTTTTGTGTTCTGCTGTGCCGTCTGAAGAATCCAGTGTAATGCAAGTGTTAGACTCTAATTAGCCACTTTTTGCGAGCTCTTCTTCAGGTCCCCCATGTGGTGAAGTGCCGTCTGTAGAATCGAGTGTAGTGAAAGTGTTGGACTCTGATGAGCCACTTGTCGCGAGCTCTTACGTAAGCCCTACGTGTGTGCAAATGATGGACCCTAGTGAGCCACTTGTGCCCATGACTGTGCCATTGAAACCAATAGCTGATAGTTCCCGCGCCACTGTTCCCAGTACCGGGTCGGTACTACCGCCTGCATTTCCGACGTCGACTGAGAGCAGCGTGGGTAATGCGGAACCTCAAGCTAATGGTTCCTCTGGCCGAAGAGTCCACTACTATGAGGAAATAAGGTTTGGTTCACTGTGTTTTCTTATATAGTCACAGATGTAAACTTCACTGTAAAAGCTGACGAGTAAAGCAGTAATTAGATTCTAATAGGAATAATTTTGCTTGTTTTTTTTCAACACCCCAGCTCAGTGCATTGCATTTGCTGAAGATTACAGAAAAAATGTGCACATATCATAGGACACCTATGACGTTAAGCTCCAGCAGTAAGACTGGTCAGCTTGGCATATTCTGATGCAGGAAGAGCAAGTGTCGCTCTAGGTCAGTGAGTCGGGCAGCTGGAACATGGTTCGAGAATGCACGGCTGTCTTACCTGGTTACAATTTTTACTGATGTATATGTTCAGCTAAAAGTATAGTTATCAACTAAAATAAGAGACAGCCCGTGAAGATAAAGAAACAATTTTATCAACAAGGACAATAACTTACTGGTTTTCTTACTGCCGGGAGACAGTAGTTGTTTATGAATTGGAGCACCTAGAAGTTGACAGCAAGATTGGTGGTCCAGGCAAAATCGTGCAAGTAGATGAATCAAAATTTTGAAAAAGAAAGTACAACAGAGGGAGACACATTGAAGGCCATTGGATGCTGCGCATGATAGAAAATGGGAAAAATGATTTGAGATTAGAAGTGTGTCCCGATAATGATAGATCTGCGGAAATGTTGGGGCCATTAATACATAACCATGTGGAGCTAGGCACTGAAATCCATACCGATTTTTGGAGAGCCTAAGACTGCCTAGCTCAATATGGATACATACATATTAAGAAGGTTAATCACAGCGACCCTATAAATAAATTTGTGGCACCAGATGGGACACACACTCAAAGAATAGAAAGCCACTGGCAAAATTTAAAAGTGATGTTTGGTAGGGAGAGTTATAAAGCAAACTTCACAGACTGGCTAATTGAATATTCTTGGCGAAGAAAAATAAAAATAGCACATAAAGATGTTTTTGAAGAATTAATTCTAGACTTGGAAGTTAAAAGCACTTAAGTCAAATCTTTTTGCATGCAAAAATTTTACAGGGGAGGGTTATATTCGATTGGTGTGAAAAAAATGTAGTACGGTTTTTATTTCTATTGTTTTTTATTACACAATCACGAACTAGTTACACATTAAATTTAGTAAAAATTATAATAATGCTTATTAGTTAAGTTTTTATAATAAACTAAAAGCTACTTTCTTCAGAATTTGATGTATCCGGATCAACGTCAGTTGTGTCTGTAGCAGTTACTAAATTCTGGTGAAAATTATGGAAACATTCCGGTATTAAAGATAAAAGTGATATTATGTCACATTTTTTTTTTCAATGCTTATGCAATGCTTATTAAGCCGGTACGGCTTTGCAGTAATCTGCATCAAATTAAATTCCTTTTCTCGTCCCGTGTTCCCTTTGAAATTAATGGTATTGAAACAATCATCTCTTGACAGACATTTTTTGTATTTTATGACGCCATATTCAGCTTCGTAACACAGCCACTTCACATCATGCCATTTGAAAATATTTCCATCATCGTCTTTTTTTCGGACTACTAACGACCCTCCAGCGAAGTCAAAAAAATCTGCTTGCCGCATTTCTTTAACTGTAAATTTTTTGCTGCTCGACCTGACTAATTGCATCCAATCATGTGGATGATAAATTTCAATTTCAGTTTTTTTCTTTTTTTTTCTATAATTGCATGGTCCAAGTCCACCTCCATATGTGTATGACCAGGTACCATAAATTTATGATTTATTAACTTAATAAAGGGTTTTACTGACAACAAGTAGGTAAACATTGCAGTCACATGGGTGTTCTTATTTTGCCCTCCGCAAGTACAAAATTACTTCTGAAACTTCTTCAGGAAGTTCGAATATAAAAACAAACAAGAGGCTATTTGATTAGCTCCTCGACCCGAAATTCCCTCATGCCACATGTGGTGAGTTGACATTCCAGTTCCATTGTCATGTATCATAAGATTAAAGGTCCAAAGTTATCTTTTGTAAAAGGCTACAGATGATTGCAAAGCTGGGGTTGGCAAGCATTGTTGTAGGTCAAAAGACAGACACTTGATTTTTTTATCTGTAACTGCGGTATTTTTGTCAAATTTCTTCTCATTGTAAACCATATCAACTGCTAGCAAGTGTGCGTCCCGTTCTGTTTCAAGAGCAGATTTTTTCGTCTCGTCCGTAGCAATGTTTAATTTAATTTTAAACAGGTCGCAAGTGTGGCATGTGTCCACTTTTGGTTTTTTGAAACTTAAATTTAATTTGTGGAATTCTCTACGGTAAATATTGTCACTTACAGGATTTTCATGTGAAGTTGAATAAAGAGAATACATTTTTGATATTGTCAAATGCGATGGTAAATATTTCTGGGTGCTTTTGCATCTAGTGTAGTGGCTTTCATAAAGCGGAAATGAATTGATATGATTAATCACCTCTTCAATTTTTTGTTTAGAATGTTTGTTCAGTGGTGTATTCCTCCCATGTTTGTCTGTTTTTATAATTCCACTTGAGCTGCTATGTTTCTTCAACCCGATTAGTTTAACAAAATTAACACTTATTGATAGGATTTTTAGAAAACACCCTTGACACACCGATATTTTCTCACTATTAACGTTGAAATGATACTTGTAAGTGTGCTGTCTACATTTTTGTTTGTCAGGATCTTCGACACGAAGACGTTCAGTTTTTTTCTCTTAGATAGTGATCAAAGATGAAATGAATGCTGCCCTTGAATCGTAAGACCCAAGATTCCAAACCTCCTTGTGTATCAAAGCGCGCTGTTTATCACTTATTTTCTGCCGGCACTTATTCCGACAGTTAGGTAATTCCTTCATTTGACATTTTCCAATAGTTTTCCCAGAAGCTGTCACATAAGATTGGCCAAGATATCTTTTTAATTTGTTTTCTTGCTTCTTTTTTCTACAGGACACTGGTTGGTTTTGTTGTAGCAAAGAAATATCACCAATGTTTTCAGGTGTTTCATTGTCTGGCATTATATGTATATCTACTGATGCATTAGGAACAGCAATTTCCATTTCTTTATGTTGTGTAAGTAAGCTAGGACTGCCCGGAGAGTAGTTAGGATCGGCCACAGAATCGTCACTAGAAAAGTCACTTACTGTTTCATCTAAAATAGTTTGTTTTAGGGTTCCAGATGTACTTGGTTGTGGATTACTGAATGGGTTTTCGTCACCTGTAAAAAACAACAATAATAAAAACTGATAACAGATTGGAAATTGTGATGTTTTTAAATATAAAAAAAAAACTTTCTAAAGAAGTGTGGTATACTCAACTAAAGCTATTAAACAGTTTTGCATATTACCCATTGTAATAAAATGATAAACTAACGTTCACATCAAAAAAATATTACCCCGACACAAATTACTGGGATAAGAGCAGGAAAAAGAAGTTCACAACATACCTGTATTCTTATTCATTGCTGCACTGTCATTATTTATGGCGAGATTCACCAATTTTCTGTCCCTTGAATCCATTGCGACACAGTGAACGTACACCACCATTGTCATACAGAAACAAATGACAACTAATGAAGAAATGTGTATTTCTTTTGACTTAACTAAAATTTACCACTTTATCAGACCCTTAAAAAAGAGGATAGGTACTTGAAAGTATTATAAAGAACAAAAACGGACCATTGTAAAAGACCACTTAGTCAGCTTGCAGTATAAAAAAACTTAAGTCAATTTAAGTAATTTTTGTCGCCGCTCGATGTGTTGATAAAACATAAGTTATATGGTACAGTCGGCTGTTGCGTCTAAATTAAGCGTCGGAGACTTACGTGCTTCTTCCAGTCGACGGATGATACAAAAACACGGTTGCTGTGACTTTTTAGAATTTAGCGCAAAAATTGACTTAAGTACTTTTGGCATAAAAAATTGATTAATAAATTATGAATTATATTTGTTTTGTTTTATTTTAACAGTCCCTATTAGGGCAGATAAGAAATAAAATCCACCTTCCTTCCTCCTTGTTCTCCAAAACAATGGAGTCCATTGTAAACTGCCAGCTCATGAGGTACCTTGAGGATCACCAGCTGATTAGTGATCACCAATACTGTTTTCGCCGTAGTCCATCAGCTGGTGATCTTCTGGTCTACCTAACTCATAGATGGGCGCCGGCAGTAGAGTCCAAGTGGGGAGGCATTGGCCGTTAGTTTGGACATTGCGAAGGCCTTCGATCGGGTTTGGCACAAAGCGCTTCTTTCGAAGCTCCCTTCCTATGGGCTTCCCGAGAAATTGTGCGATTGGATCACCAGCTTTCTTGCAGATCGGAGCATCAAGGTCGTTGTAGACGGTGCAAGCTCCGATTACAAGCCTATTAATGCTGGTGTTCCACAAGGCTGCATGCTATCGCCAACGCTGTTTCTTCTGCATATCAATGATATGTTGCAAACCCGTAACATTCATTGCTATGCAGATGACAGCACTGGTGATGCTCTGTACACCGGCCGTGCCAATATTTCTCGGGAAAACGTCTCCGAGTACCGGGACAAACTTGTGTCTGAATTCAAGTCTTTGTTGAACAGTCTCTCATTGGGGGCGACTAAATCTAGTCCAGTTTAACCCTCTGAAGACACAAGTTTGCGCGTTAACCGCTAAAAAGAACCCCTTTGTCGTATCTCCTTAGTTTCAAGGCACTCCCCTTGTTGCCTCAGCCAGTATCGGAATCCTCGGCGTCGACATATCGAGTGACGTGCAGTTTAGTGGTCACTTGGAAGAGAAGGCCAAATTGTCCTCTAAAAAGCTTGGCGTGCTCAGTAGAGCGGGACATTATTTCATGCCGGCGCAGGTTCGGCTGTACATGGAATACTGTTAATCTCTAGGCTGGAGCTCCCCAGTACCAGCTCCTTCTACTTGACACAATCAAATTACATTTTTGAAGTCATTATAACAATATACTTACTGGTACAAAAATAATGTAAAAATGCCTCCTTTTGATGAAATTGTTTTATTATACCTTTTTTATACTTCTCAAGAAATGTTTGCTGCAAATTTTTGAGTTCTTTGTATTTCAACCAATTCACGCAATAATCTTAACCATTTTTTCTTATCGAATCCGGAGGGAATCTGTTTGACAAACGGCAAAAATAAAATTTCATTTTAGAGTGCTAACCGAGCATTTATTTTCATTCCGTTGTTTGGGAATAAATATAAATAATAAGTCTATCAATTCATCATAAACATTCAAGATAAATATCGACATTAATTTTGATATAGTTAAATTAATCTAATATCAAATAAAAATATTTTGTATAAAAATGAATTTATCAAACACGTGCAAATTATCAACAACTTGACTTTTTCTTTGCAAAATATCAAAATTAATTAAATAATTCAAAATTTTCTGTATATTTAAACAGTATATAACATAAATTTTAACCAAAAATAGACGCGTCTTATTATTGACGACGTCTTGAATGTGCAATTATCTGAATTGTTTCTATTATTAACACCAGTCACTCACCGAACATGTAACCATTTTGGAAAACTATGAGTTACAAAAATTAACACTATAATAATCTAAAAACTTACAAAATATCTAGGAGCTTATTTATTGCGTGCCGACTTGTGCCGACCTATCATTCAAAAATGGTTACAGAGTCAAGAGTTTTGCTATCCTTTTCTATTTTGCTATATTCCCATAAGGAATTTTCTTCTCACGTGCACACTATGCTCGTCAATTACTATCCCAAGTCTATGGTTCAAAGAGACTGTGGAACAAAACGTAGTAAAACCCCCATTTTGTCATTGACTTCCGAGTCGTGTTACTTCATTCATTGATTAGTCGTTACGTTGCTATTTTCTGTATTTATTTGAGATTTTAATGAAATGGCGTCTGCAAGAACAGAATACTGCTTAATTTGTACAGTAAGATTTCAACGCAATGTACGAAGACAATTACTATCCGAAACGACTAAAGATGTGCATCAACTTTTGAAGAACCTAAAACTTTTTTATATTTTTTATCATTAACAGTGCTCTATTAAAACAATATCTAAAAAACTACTAGACAGTCGCACTTACAAGATTTTAGATTATAGTGAGATTACCGTTTGATTGTTAATTTCTCAGTATTCCCGTTAGATGGTAAAACTAATATTACTACTGTAATTTATAGATTATAAGGAATAAATCGACGATGACGACGACGATGTTCTTGTAGATTCGTTTATTCGTTGTACTTAAAGTGCGGAATGCGTCTGGTCTGTTAGTACTGGCAATTTACGTGCATGCGTTTTGCAGGGCAGTTCGTCAAGCTGGCGGCCCTCCAGGATGTGGCTTGCGCGCCTACGCTAGCTTTGCGTGCAGTGCGTCACGTCGCAACACTTACAGGTAAGATGCTTTAGAGATTGACTTAAAGGAGCTTAATACGCTGATTAAAATACTGCCAATGTTAATTATCAAACACGCAATAGTCTATGAGCAAACAGTCGCACAGAGCACAGAGTAGAGATTGTCGCTAAAGAATTCTTCAATGTTGCCAATCATTCACAAAAAGGTGAACGAGGCAAACCATGGTTATTATTCAGTGCTTGCACACGTTAGTAATGAAATAGGTGATATCCAGAAGAATTCAGTAGTTTCAACATGTAGTACTGGCGAACTCTGAATTCTCGAGCTGCATTGGTACTAATGCGGAGATTTAGCTTGAAAAACATTGCGTTTTCGATAGCCGGGCTTATTACTGACCACCTCGAGCACCTCTATGTGACGGAGTTGTGAACTCTCCAAAGTCTAACAGCCTTTGGCTTGCTGCCACCAATAGTAAAACCGTTACAAAAAAGGGAGATGAAAGTGATATTACCAATTATCGACCAATTGCACTAGTCCCAGTCCTTCAAAAAACATTCGAAAGAGTTGGGTTTCGAAAGTTAGAATTCGAATATTTCAATCAAAGCAAAATATTAAAAAATAACCAGCATCAACTTTTTTACTTGACGTCGTTTCAATGATATGTCGCTATGTGATTTATCGTAGTGTTTGGATGATTATAAAGCATTGATATGCGAATAATCGGCAAAAAGATTAAAATAATCGTTAAAAATATTCAAATAATCGAATCATTAACTTTTTTTAATATATTATTTCTTTTATTTAATTTTTATTTTTAAAATTCCTTAAATTACATGAATCATGAATAAAACAAATTTATTTTTTTACTTTGTCAACGTAAAGGACAATGGCGAACTCCCAAATAAATTTTGGTTGACTTTTTTTCTTGCGTCTTCAAATTCGCACCTTCATTTCGAAACTGTTACTAAACGAAATTTTCACGAAATTGAGATAATGACGTCATCATACTTAAATCGGCA